ACACAAGACAGAAGACTAAGACGAACTTGGCCAAACGATCTCTAGGAAAACTGAAGCGTAATCGATGGATTACAGCTCTTCAAGCCAACTTAGTACAATAGAATAATTATTGTACATGACAGCAAATTAGCTCATATAATGCAAATTCAGATTGCTAATAAATGATAAATAATAAAAAAAATATTAGCTGTAGTATCATTAAGTTAATTGAAAGCCACATTTCCTAGGAGCATGAATGCATTTTTGTAAGAATCCATAAGTATGGGCCTACACATTATTACTATAATACTGTAACGGACGAATACAATACAATATCCGCAGAAATCTCATCATTACAGAGAAATTCACTAGCACAGTAACAACAGAAGACTTATTTATCAAGTTCACGCTACAGTGTTCGACTTATCATGTAGTTCAGGGGTTGGCACTTATGTTTTACTTTATCGTCCGATTGGTATATTTATGTAGGAGAACCTCACGAAATAATTCTGACGTTAAAATATTAAGTAGCTGCAAAATATCTACACTAAATGAACATCTTCCTTTATATTACTTGTTTGTTTATCATTTAACTACGCTGTCCACACTGAGAACATGTAATGTTGGTACTAGTATAATTAATGAACATGAAGCAGTTAGTGGAATGAGAACTGCCAGGGGAAACCGAAGAACAAACAAACAAAAACAAACTCCGTGGTTTTAGTCCGCAAGCGAACTATACCGGCCGAGCGACCGCCGCATGTAGGCGAAGGAACCGAAGAACTCTGAGGAAACCTGCCCCAGTGGAATTATGTCCGCTACAAATTCCAACTGATGGAGGATGGAACCCAAATCGCTGCAGTGGGAAATTTGGGATCAGCTGCCTGAGCTACATTACGGCCCTTCTTGCTGTTTTAGACGTTGGCCTAATCACAAAATGCACGCAGTTACATTGTCACTAGGTTTTTAATTCGGATATGAGAATCTAAACTCTCGTTCGTGTTCTCAACGGACTGAGAGACACACTAAACCGATTCTGGAGTCAGCTGACTCGATTTTCTCATGCTGTGTTCTAATAGCGCCCAGAATAGGACGGATAGCTCAACATGCTACATATAACAAAAGGGTTTAATCACAGATGTACAGCCCGTATGCATCAAGTTAAGATATAGCTATCCCTGTAACAGGCCGTGGAGGCCCATAGGGTTGTGAAACTTCGAGGTTCCTACATTTGCTAGACAATCGACTCACAGATGGCAGTGAGGTTGTCAGCCTTACACGCCGGCAGCTGTTTACCCCCCAGGAAGATTCCTGGTGCTCATTTCTGTTAGAGCTTGAGTCGACCCCAGGACCATAGTACGGCTGGAAGGATTAGGTCAATTGAAAAATCCAATGAACTCATTGGGAATCTAACTCGCGACCTTCCGGATTGTAGCATGGTGCCTCAACCACCTACGCTACCGCTTGCCCCCTTATGTTATGCCTTAAGGAACTAAATGCATTTATAATCTGAAAAATAATGGAAATTGCATATATAGCCATAAGGAACTAAGGCGACGGTTTGTAAAATTATCAGGAATCTTAGAGGGTTTCTTGCTTGGAATTTAGTGGCATGGTAGCGTAGTTGGTTGAGGCACTATGCTACATGCCGGAAGGTCACGGGTTCAAGTCCCGATGAGGCCATTGAATTTTTTCAATTGACCTAATCCTTCCTGCCGCACTATGGCCCTGGGGTCGACTCAGCCTCTAACAGAAATGAGTACCAGGAATATTCTTGGAATATTCTTGGAGGTAAAAGGCGGCCGGTGCGTAGGGCTGACAACCTTGCCGCCATCTATGAGCCGATTGTCTAGAAAATGTGGGAACCTCAACATCTCACAACCCTATGGGCCTCCACGGCCTGTTACAGGGATATCGTTACCTTACTTATTTACCCAGGCACATATGTTATTACATTCCGTGAGATCCAGAAAGTTTTCGAATTCAATGACGCCTATCAACTGGCGTGTGTTTATTAGGCGATAAAAAGAACGACTGTGCAACAGACACCAAACATTTGACATAAGCTTACGTGAATCGTTAGAGCTTCCATGATGAGTCCCTGCAAGTTGCTTCTCCTTTCATAGTAGTCTACATTTGTAGTTTTTAAAACGTACCGAGCACTGACAGTACCAAACTCATATTTCTGAAGTGGATAGCCATTTCGCACGCGGTACACTTCTGTCAGCTGGACATAATCTTTCGGTCGGTGTGTCACAAACACTTCACTGTTAACCAGCACGTCAATATCAGCAAAGAATGTGTCGATATTTGTTCCCACATTCAGCAGCAACAGCCACACTGAACGTGAGAATTCTGCTTCTCTCGCCATCTGCAAGATTATATATAGTACATCATTAGTTTACGGACAGAATTGCTCGAAATGTCGGAAATTGAACACCGACTTTTGTTCCAGTATTCAGTAAGAACAACAAGTCATTCTGTACAGGATGAATATGTTTGTATCGTCATCTTCAGAAAAAAATAGATAACACATTTGTGTATCTCTTATGATTCTCTAATGGCTTTTGACAATTGTCAACACAGTGATGTTGACAGCGTTTATTGCCTGAGGTAACTCATACTTACAAGACATTTCAGAAGTTGACTGTACTCCTGTCTTCAGGTAACTGTATAGACTGCATCCTGTTGTGTATATAATATTTAATTGCTTATATTACGACCGTCGACCAAGTAATATAGGAATATCTTCAATAAAGACAATAGGTGTTGGTATGTGTCTTACCTGTTTAATATTGTGGCGTGCCGCCAAAAAAAAAACTGGCGATAAAACGTCCATTGATAGGCAACGGCTGCTATAAGAATGTATACTTCAGTGGAAACGCAATACCAACATAGAAATAGCTTAAACAACAAATGCGTTTCCCCAGAAATGAAAGGATATCCATGGAAACGAATACTACCAGCATGTAAAACGGAAACCTTGAACACGATGTTCACTAATCAGTCCGAGTGCACGTTATAAGATTCCAGTTTCGACGAGACCAGTCAGTTCTTAGTGTAGCTTCGACTAGAGCAGAAACCAGCTCGCATCAAAAGAATGGATCAAGACACTTCACCGAGATTAGCGGGGCAAGAAGTAATTGTGATAGTGAAGTTGATAATAACTCTTCTTGCGAGTGTGAAGGAGCTTGACCAATAATCGTCTTAGCCAAATTCGAGACCCGCGTGAATTTACTTGTAGCGTTACATAGGCAACCCGCGACAATTTAAACTTAACTGTGCTACATGTTTCGACCATACAATTGCCAGACGATGACCTAATTATATGGTTGAACCATGTAGCATAGTTACGAGTACGTTTATATTAAACACACAAGACATATAACAACACCTATTGTCTTTATGAAGATATTCCCACATTACTTGTGTCGACGGTCTAATATAAGCAATTAAATATTCAGGCAACTGGTTGTCAGGATACTGACAGGTATATATTTACTTTTATTTTCGAAGCAATCTGCTTGGTAAACTGAGATGTTAAACAGGTGTCACACGGCCTGCATCCAGTAGGTAAGCTCTTCGATACATAATGGCATATACGTGTGTACAAAATAATAATTAATTTTCTTCGCGTGACATTCTGTATGGGTGTAAAACTTGACCTCTGACATTAAGAAAGTAACATAGACTGAACTTGTTTGAGAACAGGGCGCTCAGGAGAATATGTGTACCGAAGAAGGATGAGGTGACAGGAGAATGGAGAAGACTGCATAATGAGGCGCTTCATAACTTGTACTCGTCTACAAGTATAATTAGAATCGTCAACAAGGAGGATGAGATGAACAACGCACGTAACACGAATGGGGGAGAGGAGGAATGCATTTACAATATTGGTAGGAAAGCCAAAACGAAAGAGACCACTGGGAAGACTAAGACGTAGGTGGGTGGATAATGTTAAAATGGATCTTAGATAGATAGAATTGTGTGGTTGGACTAGATTGGTCTGGCTTAGGATAGGGGCCAATGGGTGGCTCTGGTGAACACGGTAATGAACTTTCGGGCTCCATAAAATGTTGGGAAATTCTTGAGTAGCTACAAAACTGGCGGCTTCTCAAGAAGGGCGCATCTCCATATAGTTAATTAGTTAAATAACATTTACTTAGGAAATTAATACTCATTCAGTAGATTAAGGAATTAATTTCCCGGTTTTATGGAACTGGAGGATACAGTTCCGTGTTCACAAAAGCCTTCAATTGGGCACTATTCTGAGCCAATCAGTTAAGCTTCTACATTCACAACAGGTACAATATGTGACTCTCCTTCCATCTGTTCTAACGCTAAATGGCGTCTAAACTTGAGCTTTCCCTACCAACATTTTATATTCATTTTTCATGTCCTCGCGAAATTTCTGTGTCGCCCATCTTATTCTTCTTGAACACAATCTCTGAATTGCATCAGCTGCTTACCTTCTTCAGAGAGAGCATTGCATTTTGGTCATCTGATGCTAAAACATTGATAGGTCGGTTCTTCGGACAGAGAAGGTGTTTCAGAAATGCTTGACCTGTGTCAATGTCAAGGGCCGCGCTTGTGACTGTGCCCTGAGATAGTCTCTTCCTAAGACGTACCAGCATCAGCTCATCTCGTAGCTCTAGAAGACAATGAAATGGGACATTTTAAAAAGCGTTCTGCCTCTAAATGGAACTGAAAACTAAGAAACTAGACTTGTAAAATGGCATGTCTTACATTTTCAACTGTAGTAAAATAAATTTATATACATATGTGTATCCTTTTGTGTCCTTTTGGATCAATACTTTATGGAACCAAGTATTTTGACGCCCCCACGTCTAAAATCCCGCTCTTCATTCGAAGCGTGGGGTTGCTGAGGGAATTATTAAAAAAAGAGGAAGAACAGTAGATCACTGAGGTCGCGGTGCAAGGGCCGAGAAGGCCTACCCCTCATTCATTCATTCATCCATTCATTCATTCATTCATCTCAGTTGTAAGTCGACTATGGCTTGCTCGTGTGTCTTTATAATATTGTGGAGTTTAGACCCGTTGCTAAGCAGTGACTGTGTAAACAGCGGCCGTCGCTAGATAACGCCCGCAACATACACACACGCAACAGTAGAACAACTTGGTTACGCAATCCGTTTATAAGCAACGGTTCGGTAAACACGCTTCCGCGGCACCAGACAACAACGCAGCAATAGAAGCACGTGTTTTCTATGTGGTCCATGCCTAGATATTATGAGCAGGACAGTTTGAAACAACGAGTTAGTTGTTAGTGGGAGTTGTCAGGAGTTCAGTTGAGGGAAGTGACGTGAAGTAGCTGGTTAGTGAGTGAGAGAGTTCAGTTGTCAGTTGTAAGTCAGCCTGTGAAGAGAAGACTAGGAGGTTGGCGTGAAATGACTGTCAGCCTGGGATCCAATTAGTTGAGTTGTCGACGGACAAGGGTTCTGCGCGGGCGGCTGTGACAAGAGGACCTGATCGCAAGAAGCTGAAAAATCTCCATCGATAGAAGTCTTTGCCAGTGTTGCTGGTGGATTGTATAATAGACTAAATATACTAGGCTGTGTGTGTCAGTGTAGTTCCGAGTGGTCAGTAAATCCATTCACCAATCCGGAACCCATCTGTAGTCACACACACACCCTAAAACCGTGACAATATCATACTGTGTATTCGCTGAATATGAAGAAGTAGTTAAGACTGGGATTGGATAGTGTCAACAGTATAATATGACCATGAGTCCGGCATTTTGTTGTCTAGTTTTACTGATAAAAGTTCCTCTAGGCAGTATAAGCTGTGCAAATGGGTTACTGCGGAAATGTTCATCCGAGTTCCAAGTTCGTCCAACTTTTTTCCCCTTAATACTAGATGTCGTTTTGGTTTCCTGTCTACTAACACGCCATTAAATCTCACTTTATTTACAAGATTCTGAATAGTGTTTCTGTGAAGAACAAGAAATAGTCATATGTGAATACCGCAACAGAGGATCTACTTCCTGTTATTGTCGTTGCTGGCTCATCAAAATGGCGGGGAACGGTGTAGTGATCGCGCATAGCGGAAAACCCATGCTTCGACTCAGCCCGCAAATATCTTCCTGTATAAGGCTATTTTTTATTGCTACTGGGGTGGGACTAAGTCCCTTGTACTGGGGCCACTTCTGGTCTATTTTACCAGCCCCAGATGATAGGTGAGGGTGATTGTGGAACAATTAGTGGAATGAAGATTGGCAAGGGAAACCGAAGTACTCGGTGAAAACCTGCGCTAGCGCCACTTTGTCCACCACAAATCCCACTTGACCAGGCCCGGGATCGAACCCGGGCCGCCGCGGTGGGAAACCAGCGACTAACCGCTCCAGTTATGGTGTGGCCTGTATAAGGGTAACAGTAATTTTAGTAATGACACAGCCTTGCCTTAAATAGCACTAACGGAAACGATCTGCAGACTAGTGATTCGAAATCTACTACATAACATTGATAAGTTTTACTTGAAGTCGATTTTTAGTGAGGTTTAAAAGGCGTGCTATTTTCATGGATTACACGTTCCTCAATAAATCTGGCTTTCATTTCATTATAAAAATGTCTATGGTCAGAGTGAATATTTGATATATCGTCGGACAGTATACTCACCATAATCTGTACGAACATTTGAATACAGGAAGAACACACATCCTGACCGGAAGTATTGCTGCAGGCCGATGATGACCGCCGTGGTCTCTAACAGAGTCAGACCCTTGTCCGTCTGACTTCGACACAGCGCCGCCATGCCCAGCACAAAGAGGACCATGTTCCACTGCGGGCGTTTCATAACTGCAAGATGCTATCGTGTAAATTGTCTGAAAATAGAACTCATTACCTTGTAACTCTTGTATATAAACTGTGGTGGGTATTTCCTTAACTTTGAACCATGAAGCATTTTATCTTTGTTCTAGTCCTGCCCAGAACGAACATGCGATTTTGTGTTTAGATCATCATTAATCTATCTTATTTTCATTTATTCTTGACTTAATTTTACGTTTTCAGTTTCTCGTATTATGTATCGCGCAACTGCACGATGAGAGGTGAGTGAACGGGAAGAGAAGTGAAACTACAAGGAATTACCGGTCTCTCAATCGAAATTTGAACGACTAACTCCCGAAATAAGTAAGAATAGTTCCCACTCGTTATCGACATTTGGTGACAATCCTGTACTTCGCAAGTATTGCCATGAGAGTGGGTCTACACCGCTACTGACTTACGGCCCGGTAAAATAGCAGTTGGTTTTCCGAGAAACGTGAACCTCTTTGCCTCACACTGTGAAAAACAAATGTAGTTATTACTAGCACCTACAAACATGTTTATATACTATATAACAATTAATACCTTTATGTGGTGTTAAAATACAGACATATTCACCCACGTTGAAATCACACAGTTATGTATAATGCGCAAGCGCGCATGAAATGTTTTAAATCTTTAGACGTTTCCGTTTCGACGTGTTTTAGAGGAATATGGCCGCCGGCACCAGATCTACGTGTTCTTTTCCCCGCTACTTGTCTTACTACACCATTAAACACCTCGAGAGGAAGAGAGAAACATGTTCACCAGAAACTATTCACTAAAATAACTAAAAACTAAAAATATTGCTAGTTTTAAAATTAAAACTTTTCCAGTTGTGATAAAACAGCCTGTGTTAAAACGATAATTAATAACCTATTAATTATCTGACAGGAATAATTGAAGACTTTGGTAGTCACTGTGCCATTAATTCCGCCATACTCAATAATACAACCTGTTCTCCCTGATAGATTTTCATTATATCAGAACTAACAACATGCTGTAAGTCAAGATGTAAATAACCAGCTTTTAATAGGATTATATCTCGTTATCACAATAGGACAGACGTGCTGGCTATGCAATGTAGCAAACCGTTATTAGAGTGAGGACCGAAAGAAATAAGTAATTGCTTCAGAAGCAAGGCAAACAATGAACATTGCAACACCGACAGTTGCGATGGGCAGAGGTAGATTGTTAGGCGACAGTACGCGTGCGCGTGTCGTGACACTAGGCACTGGCAGGAACTATTGTCATAGCGACATGCATTTTAAATGAATCAAAACACTGCATGACGTCCACGGTACATGTATATCCCACAGTTCGAAGCACAAATCCTTTTTAAATAAATTGCTTATATATGAAATTTTATGAACTGACAAGACAAATTTATATCATAAAGTGATCAGTTTGATCAGACCAATATTTTGATCATCTTAAATTATTCTGCCTTTGAATGTTTTCCGACAGCCTTGTCCGTAAGAACGTGCATTAATGTTGCATAGATCATGGGGTTTGATCGAGTCTTGCAGTCTCTTTGTATAACAATTTCGTAATTCGTACCCTTCATCAAATATCATTACGGCAGAATCAAACTACGAAGGGTAAAATGTAGCAAGCATGAAGACAGTAGAAATGCATACAACATTTTGATGAAAAATATGAAGGAAGGAGCTGCTTACGACACCCTGGAGAAGATGAAATGAAATTGATCTTAAAGAACCAGGGGGTGAAAGTTGATCTGGCTTAGAATAGCGTCCAGTGGTGATGTCTTGTAAACGACAATGAATTTCTGGTTTCATCAAAGCTGGAACAGTTTTTGTGAAAGAGATAGTTAACTTTTGATGCTAAATTATTATCCATGGAGTTACTGCTGTCGCTGAAAGTGAATTTATGTCATCAATATACACGTATATGCATACAGGCGTTGGACAGAATAATGGAAACACTACAGATACTGAAGAAAGCAGTCTTCTGGGATTTGGCACCGTGTATATGTGGTGTTAACCGACGTTTCAGAGGAATGTATTGCCTCCATCCGACACTACTGATTTCACTTGTATACTTGCCCTTCCATCCTTCCTTCACTGCTCTCACATAGCTGTGTATATTTCCAACACCAGTCTGCTTGTATCGGTTCTCACGGTCTCTTCGCTTGCGGATTTCTTATATTTTTCCTTGTACCCTGAAGATGGAGGCGATACATTCCTCCGAAACGTCGGTTAACACCACATATACACGGTGCCAAATCCCAGAAGACTGCTTTCTTCATAGTCATCGCCGTGAAAGCCTCAAATCTTACTACAGATACTGTATACGTTTCTTTATTGATATGGTGTAGGACCACCTTTTGCCTTCCACACAGCCGCAATGCTTCTTGGGTGGACTCGTACAAACTATGAACAGTATCTAGCGGAATTTGACACCAATCTTATCAAAGAGCATCTTCAGATTGCTTTAGAGATGTTGGAGGTGGGGATATGTTCCTCACACTAGTCTCCAAAAGTGACCAAAATGTTTAAATGATGTTAGAATTGTTAGATTGTGCTGGCCAGGGAAGATGCTGAAGTTCACCTTCATGCTCTTCAAACCATGACCGAACAGTTCCAGCTCTGTGAACGGGGCATTGTCTTCTCGTAAATCTGCACTGTTGTTCAGAAATAACGTCTGGATCATGGAATGCACCTGATTACCCAACCTGTCCACGTACTTCCTTGCAGCAATCCGGCAATGGAGGGTAACAATGGAACCAGCAGGATGCTGTACCACGATGTTGCTGCCCAGACAATCACAGAGCTTCCCCCGTGTTTCTCTATTGGAACCGCACTAGGTATCAGGATTATAGAGTTCCTTGCGTGTTCTCCAGACGTAAACTCTTCCTGAGGTAGGGAACAGCATGAAGGACGACTCATTTGACCATATCACACGCGCGTTTCCAGTTGTCTGATGTCCAGGTTTTATGGTCGTGACACCATATAAGCATTACTCCAGTAATTGGAGGTTTATCATTTGCAGCCCTACCGTGAATGTCGGATTTGTGAAGCTTACGTCGGACAGTTTTTGTGGAAAAGGAGACTACAAGATGAATATTCAGTTCTGCTATCATCTTTGCTGCAGTTCCATGTACTTCGAGGCAATTATTCTCAGTGTATGATGTTCTCTTTCTGTCAATGTTGGTCGCTCCACTTGTCTTCCTTATGACTCCTGGGCACGGACCGAGTAGAAACCCCGTTTCTAACAGTACCTCTATTGTTACACGTCGATTCTTTGCCGTTGGAACGTGTTTACCGAGCCGTTGCCTAAAAACTGTTCTGGTATATTTGCCTATCTCGCGGTCGTCGCATAGTAACGGCTCTACATGCTACAATATTAATAAATTCTATTGTTGAATTTCTGGTCTTAAATGTTCATCGTTCTTTTTGCCATTAAGTCTTGTAGTTTATTTTCCAAATTGCGTTGCAAGTAAATTCTCAGGCGGTTTTCTTAGGATTTTGTAAGTATTTAGCCAGGAACGCTTAGACCAGTGATTAACTGAACTGTCAGACCGACCCTCTTACATCATGTAACATTCGATAACAAACTTCAGGCTTCATGATCAATATCCAAGTATTACTGTGGCTTGTGTAAAGAAATCCCTCATGAGTACAGGATTTCGATTAATGTTAAATAAATGACAGTCGATGTATTTTCCTTTCATGAAGTACTCTCTACGTAACGATAAGAACATGCTGATTCGCCCTATGAAATAAAAACACATAGCTAATAATTCTTCTGTCGAAAAAAATGTGAATTTATGTGGTAATATCGTGATAAGTAAGCCCTGCTTCTTGATTGGCTACCAACATGCGCTGTCATAGTTACATCTAATACATAAGCGTCTAACAGAAATTACAGGTATGAGCAATGATGTGTACTTTCTGTCACACGGTTCATTCCATGAGGTGTAATCTCCATGGATTCTGTTTTTTATATAATGTTGACCTGTGTGGTGTTTTCTTCTATAAGCCATTTATGACATAATTCGAAACGTCTTTTTTAACTGCTTGTATTTTAAGATTTATGTTTGAAATAAGTTAAACAAAATTAAATTCTTTCAATAACGTTCTTTGTAGAAACTCAGTACAGAATTCGACCAGGAGCTTGTGAGGTCAAATATGCAGTCGATATGGGTCATGCGTGCATTGTATATAGTTTTCTTTTTCGAATAATGCGCGAGTTTAGTGAAAGGTACACGATATCTTTTCACTCTTACTGAGCGCTGTCTCCGTAATGTTAGTTCTGTCACATTGAGGTGCATTTTTTAAAAAACTACAGTCTTAAAATATAGTACACAAGTATTTATCTTTTCTTTATATATATATATTGGCTTCTCTCATAGTAATACCATCGTCAAAAGTTTGTATAATATTTATTTTAAAGGAAAAAAATCAGTAATTTTGGTAGAAAGATATTTAATACTGCCGTTTCCTGTCAGATATGTAAAGAGTCGGTACCTTCAAAAGAGCAGTACAATTTTTGACATAAATTTCAATCAACTATCATATGTAATTTCTGAGAAAAGTACGTATGCCTAAAGGGACACCTTGCGGGAAAATAAATGAAAAGACAACATGCTACCGTAATACAAATATAAACAAATTAAGGTAAAATAATAAAAAGTAATATTATTGCAGAAAGTGGAGAAAGTGTGAAATACCCACATTTCATTATCACAAGATTTGTAATAAAAAAACTATGATAATATTATTTTCTACGATGCAGGTGACACGTACCCGGTTCAATTACAAATCTGGAACCTGTAACTAAAACAGTTCAATTTGAAAATATACCACATCATATTAAAGTTTGTTAAAATGTTAATATAATGAGAGACCGCTGAAATGTCAACAAATTTTAATATTTTTAAAATTATGGTTAGGATATTGAAACTTCAACATATCTGATATTCAGGACCTGCTACTTCTGCAGTCACATTATAACAAATTAAAATTTATGGATTTAAAAATCATCAATCATAGACTTACAACACTATATCAAGTACGAATTTACCTATTTGTTTTATCAAACCTAACAATATTCTCCATGATGAGTTCAGGCAATCCTAGTCACAATGCGGTTACTTTCAGTACCTGAATTACTTTGTAAGAGATACAGCTACATGACATGAAATTAGAAGTGATTTTTATGGACACTTCTTACAAGAGTTACATAAATTAACTGACATCTGATACGAAAGAATGTTCTCACTTTCTCTCACCACTCGACTTCCATGTTTAGTGCGCTGCTGGTTCAGTGAAGTGTCTAATACTTGTTGAAGACAAAGCTTTTTTGAAACGATGCAAGCAATTCAGGATTATTCATAGTCGTGTGGTTCGTGAGTACTAACATTTGAGTACGCGTGCGTCGGAGCAGCGGACACTCGACAATCGAGTCCAATTAGCAAGGCACCCTTCCCAGTAGGGTGAAGGTAGGAGCAATTTCATTTAGCCCAATCTCGCCCAAATCATAATGCAGCTTAGACAACCTGCTGATGTCATTTCTGTTAAAAAAAAATTAGTGTTACTCAATGCATTAATTCCGGAAGAAAAAACGATCAAGCATGCAGAGAAACTGATAGTAGTGTAGTGGTCAGAGTTTCTGGTTACAAATCCAGAGGTCCCGTGTTCGATTCCCGACGTTACCAGATTTTCTGAGAAGTAGTGGGTCTGGAACGGGGTCCACTCAGCCTTGTAAGGATAATTGAGGATCTATTTCAAGGAAATAAAGGTTCCGGTCTAGAAAACCGATATTAACGGCTGTGGGAATCCGTTGCGCTGACCACGCGACAACCTCTATCCGCTAAAGTTGGCACTAACTTCGCCGACAAGCGGCGGTCGCTCGGTCGGTGTAGTTCGCGTGTGGACTGAAACCACGGAGTTTTTTTTTTTTGTTTGATAACCTCGTCTTATTGTTGAAAGCATTTCAAGTAGAGTAAAGGTAAAGTTGTCCCCGAGCTTAACTAATTAAGCACTACGCCATTAAGACATATGAGGAAAATGGATGTATAGCTCCACATTTTCTTGCCCTCGGCAGCTTCACGCCCTTGCCGCTTTACCTCCATCTGTGCGCTTGTTTATTCCAATTGGCGGATTGTTCGTCCTGTTGTGTTGTGCTTTTAAAGT